CACGATGCTATTAATTTGGTACTTTTAAAAAAGAATATGAGATTGGTTTTTAAATGAAGCAAGATGATAGTACTCTAAGACAAATCCCATTATGGATAAATTATTAATCCCATTAGTTACAAACTTTAAAACACTTATCCAAGCATGAGACAAATAATATCAGGATTCAATGGATAACACAATTTTTAAAAACTGTGCCAAATTTGTATATAAAACAAACTTAGGAAATAGATAGACAGCTAAATACTTTATCTACACCCAAGAACCAGTGCCCTATTTAGCTACCAAAGTCTTCTGATAAAAAAAAACACACAAAAACTAAAGCAGCCCTAACTGGTTTGGCTCAGTGGGTTCGATTCTGGTCAAGGGCATGTACCTTGGTTGCGGGCACATCCCCAGTAGGGGGTGTGCAGGAGGCAGCTGATCGATGTTTCTCTCTCATCGATGTTTCTAACTCTCAAACCCTCTCCCTTGCTTTCTGTAAAAAGTCAATAAAAAAAAAATTAAAGCAGATGCAGATCATTGCAATCCTATGTAACTCAAGTTTCTAAGAAAATCCATTTGGTGATACATTCCAAATAGTCATGGAACTCACACAGTGTGTGTCGTCAACAGTGCATAGCTAGACAGTCAGACCAATATTTAAGTAGTCAAAAGGAAGGCACAGGCTCAGTGCTTTGCAATAAAATCAATGGTACTCCTACTGTTAAGCAAGAAGGCTTTTTTTATTAGATCTTTTCCTTATCCTTTACATAAATTAATAAAAACTTTTGTTCTAAGTAGTATTTAATGACCTAACACTATGAAAAGTTTTCAATTCCTACAATATCAGCCCATGGTTTCAAATACACTGATTACTATGAAAACAATCTCGTATTTCATTCAAGCTACTGCTGAGAGGAATGCAGACAGGAGCATAAAAGGAGTAATTTGTAATTTAAATAGACACTTAAAATCATACTTTAAAAATTAAAACAATGTTGCATTCTGTAAAAGTACGTTATTTTGTTAAAGCAAAATTCCCTTTAATAGTGGCACTGGCCCTAGCTGGTTTGGCTCAATCCCAGCAGCCTATCAATGATTTTCTCTCATCGTTGATGTTTCTATCTCTAGCTCCCCCTCCCCTCCTCTCTGAAATCAATAAAAATATATTTAAAAAATAGTTGCACTAATGGGCTATTCCAAAAAAGCTGAGAATGCCAGGCACATAGTATATGATCTGAAACTTAAAAATAACCTTCACCTAGAATAGGCTCATAATTAGTTGGGGCTTTGGTCTGAGCAAGAAGGTAATCACATCACACTATTATACTTTATATAAAGTTAAGTCAAGCCATGTGTGGCTAACACAGCAGCCAGCTGCTGCAGTGTTCATTCTATTATTTCAAGAAAGCACAACCTCCAGCTCCACCAAAAACGGTGAGTGAGCAAACATATATTAACAAAGGTGTGTGTGTTTGGCACTTTTTCAGGTATAAACAAATAATTTGAGTAATATAAGTCAGCATCTTCATTTAAGCTACCAATTAATGTATTAGTAAAGGCAAAGGGAAAAACGAAACACTTTTGGGAAACATGAATCTGGCAGGCTAGTTTTGAAAAAAATGTACTTTAACATATCTACCTTTCCCCACCATTTGTATCCTGTAAATCGGCCTGTCAGGATTATGGATCCTGCCTGAGAATTTTATAAACCCCTGCATGACTTCTCTGAAAATAAATTCATCAACATACATTACCTAGAAACTTCCTCCTTCTTACTTTTCTGACATGGCATAATTGGATTAGGTGGTTAACTAAAACATATTAAGGAAAAAACAAAATTATCCCAAAACTAGTATATGAATGTATTCTTATCTCATAAAAATTAGCATGGAAATTAATATGACATATACACAAATATTTAATTTTACTTAATGGATTTATTTGGACAGTTCACATAACTTTTTTGTCAACATGGAGTCAATAATGTATATATACCTTTATATATGAAAAATTTATATATAAAATAAACATGCTCAATGAGCAAAAGCTAAAAGCATTTCCCTTAAAATCTAGAGCAAGAGAGGGATGTCTGCTTTTACCACGCTTATTCAACATAGTACTGGAAGTTCTAGCCACAGTGATAAGACAAGAAGAAATAAAAGGCATCCAAATTAGAAAGAAGGAAGTAAAACTGTCATTATTTGAACATGACATGATACTGTATATAGAAAACCCTAAAGACCCCACCAAAAACTATTAGATCTAATAAATGAATTCAGCAAAGTTGCAGAATACAAAATCAATACCCAGAAATAGATGGAATTTTTATACTTTAATAATGAACTATCAGAAAGAGAAACTAAGAAAACAACCCCATTTACTCTTGCAACAACAACAAAAAAATAAGGTACCTAGGAATAAACTTAACTAAGGAGATAAAAGACCTGTACTCTGAAAACTATTAGACACTGAAGAAAGAAATTAAGGAAGAAACAAATAAGTGGAAGCATATACCATGTTCATGGATGGATTGGAAGAATTAATATCATTACAATGTTCATGCTACCAAAAGCAATCTATAGATTCAATGCAACTCCTATTAAAATAGCAAGAGCATATTTCACAGATCTAGAAGAAAATATTCCAAAAATGTATATGGAACCAAAAAGACCCAGAATAGTCACAACAATCTTAAGAAAGAAGAACAAAGTAAGAGGGATCACCATAACGGATATCAAACGATACTACAAGGCCACTGTAATCAAAACAGCCTGGTATTGGCATAAGAACAGGCATATAGACCAATGGAACAAAACAGAGAGCCCAGAAATTGACCCAAGCTATTACACTCAATTACTACTTGACAAATGAGGCAAGAGCATACAATGAAGTAAAGACATTCTCTTCAATAAATGGTGTTGGGAAAAATGGACAGGTACATGCAAAAAAATGAAACTACACCATCTTACACCATACACAAGAATAAACTAAAAATGCAAAAAAGACTTAAATGTAAGTCACTAAACCATAAAAATCCTAGAAGAAAACGTAAGTAGTAAAATCTCAGATGTTTCTTGCAGCGATATTTTTGCAGATATGTCTCTGAGGGTAAGGGAAACTTAGGAAAAGATAAACCAATGGGACTACATCAAGATAAAAAGCTTCTTCACAGCAAAAGAAGCCATAAAAAAATGAAGAGAACCCAGTGTGTAAGAGAACATATTCACCAATGTATATCTGATAAGGGGTTAATGTCAAAAATATATAAAGAACTTACACAACTCAACACTGGGAAGACAAACAATCCAATTAAAAAAATGGGCAATGGACCTGAATAGACAGCTCTTCAAAGAGGGCATACAGATGGCCAATAGACATATGAAAAATTGCTAACGGTCACTAATCATCTAAGAGATGCAAATGAAAACTACAATGGCGTATCACCTGATACCCGTGAGAATGGCTATCATCAATAAATCAACAAATAAGTGCTGGAGAGGATGTGGAGAAAAAGGAACACCAGTGCACTGTTGGTAGGAATGCAGACTGGTGCAGCCACTGTGGAAAAGAGTATGGAGTTTCCTCAAAAAATTTAAAATGGAACTGCTTTTTGACCTAGTGATTCCACTTCTGGGAATACATCCTAAGAAGCCTGAAACACCAATCAGAGAGAATATATGTACCCCTTTGTTCATAGCAGCATTATTTACAATAGCCAAGATATGAAAACAACCCAAGTGCCCATCAGCAGATTGAGTGGATAAAAAGCAGTGGTACTACTATATGGAATCTAATTAACAAAATAAACTGACAAGGAAAGTGGAAGCAGAATTATGGATATATGGAACAGACTGGTAGGTGCCAGAGGGGAGGTGGGTGGAGGTGACTGGAAGTAGAAGGGATTAGCTAAAGGACATATATGCACACCACAGACAAAGACAATAATGTGGTGAAAGCCAAGGGAAGGGGAGGCGGGGTGGGCGAAGTGGGCAAAGGTGGGGGGGTAGGGGGGGAGTGGGGGACATCAGCAATATTGTCAACATTAAAAATTTTAATAAAAAATGTAATAAGAAAATAATAAAATAGAATAAACATGCACTCAACAAATGCCGGAAGCCAGTTCCAGCATGTCAGCAGTGCTAAATCATCTGGAGGTGGCTGAGGGCATTTCCCCAAACCTGAAAAGGATGCATAAATGATTGCTTGCTGCCAGACAGCTGAGGGCATTTCAATCTACATGTTATTGCCTCCTACTGGCCAAACACCTGAACAGCTGAAGGCAATTCCCCAATCTGGCAATGGATTCTGTATACAAACCCTGGCCTTTGATGTGTATATCTACTTGCCTTAGGACAATTTGTGTTAATAAATAGCAAGGGGTCCTGAGACAAGGAGAACTTAGTTCCTTTAGCTAAGTCTTCTCTGACTCCCCAAAATGCCTTTCAAACTTATGTTTTGTCTCTGGACTCTTGATTAATTTACACACAAGGCTTCTCCAGATTCCTGAACCATTCTAGATGCTGGATCAAGACCACCGGCATTAAACAAATACCCATACACACAAAATAATGAAAACTATGTAAAGCGCATCCAATTTAGAAAGAATCAATTTAGAATAGTCAAAAAACTATTCAAAAATTAAAATAGTAATTATGTAAGGACTAGAGGCCCAATGCACGAAATTCGGGCAAGGGGCTCGGCCCTCGCAGCCCCTAACAGCCTCCGCCAGCCCTGGCAGCACCGGCTTCATCCGGAAGGTCATCTGGTTGGTCATTCTGCTGTTCAGTGTAATTAGCATATTAGCTCTTTATTATATAGGATATTAGCATTGTGGGGGCATTTTTCTTCATTCTTTTATAACATTATTATATTGCTTTAAAAAATTAAAATGTATTTTTTGGTTATACACATAAAACCACTACATAATTTAAAGATATTAAATAGTACTAAAATATAATTTCAAAATAAAACCACTGTGTAGTTTTAAAATTCATGTAAGTACAAAATCTACATACCTGAACCAACTTCCTTTTCCTCTTCTTCAATGTTGTTTTTGATGCTATCATATTCTTCATCAATGGTCTGATTGCCTCGCATCTGAGACAAAATTCTACGGGCCTTCTGAGTCTGTCCTTTCTGAATAAGCCATCGAGGGCTTTCAGGTAAAAAGAGGAAGCCAAAAAACTGTATGACTGCTGGAATCGCTGCAAGTCCCAACATGTACCTGCAATAAAAAACCCAGATAGTATTGTAAAACTTGGTCTTATTTGCACCACATTGGGAATACTATATAATGCAAAAATAGTGAGAATTATTTTCTTTTTATTATGTCTATGTATAACCAGAAAAAATAATATTTTTATGCTATAGTGAGAAACTGAAAAAATGACAAAAGTCTGGTTCTTCTCTCACACAAATTACAGTGAAAAAGAACGGGCAAAAGTCACAAGGATTATGTATATGCATTCTGATCCTAACACAGCATGCAAAACACCACATTCACCAGCCCTACCCAATACTAATATATAGAGATTTGTATTCTATAATATAAAATGGGATTAAGACAAAACTCTCTAATCTGTTTAAAAGATATACTTTTCAATAAAATGCCCAAATTGATTTCTTTAGTTATTTCCACCCTGTGAATGATTAGTTATGATTTCATTTTGTCATTAAGCATCATGTTGACCCTCATTAACTAAGGAGTAGAAGCCCATAGGAGAAAAAAAAAAAAAGATGAGCTGGAAGCAAATAATCAGTATTAAAATGATAGAAATGCAAAAAAAAAAACTAAACCAAAAGAAAACCAAAAAATCCTGCTCATGTTGTTTTAAGTTACATGTCATCTTTTTAAAATGTCTTTTCCTAATGACTGACAAAATTCTATGTAGGAAATAAAATATCATTTTAGACCCATCAGAGAAATAACAAAAATAATAACATGAGTCCATCGATATCAAAGATCTCTCCAAATTATTCTGACCATCAGACTGATCTCCTAGCATCTTTAGGACTCAAGCTTTTTGAACTGAGGGGTTAGGTTAGATAAACTTCAAGGTCTCTCTCAAATGAAAACGTCTATGAATCTAGGACACCTGGGTGTTTTCTGTTAATCCAAATTCCCGGGGTATGTTCCTTGGTAGATTCCTGATGGTAGAGCTCAGAAGACCAACTCCAATTACATAACAATCATGCTCACAGTGTATCAATACACCAGTGGGAAGTCATCTGACTCAATATGCTTTTCAGAGCTATTCTGGCTATTAAGCTACGTTAAATCCAAAGCATGGCAACCTTGGAGCCTCCAGATATACATATATCTTATGAAAAATTTCATTACTTTTTAAGCAATTTCATTTTAATTCATACACAGCACAGAAAAAATACAATTGTCACATGGGTGTTAGGAAAAACTCCTACTCCAAACAGTAGCTAAAACTACATACGGAAACAGCAAAATTCACTAAGATTTAGAAAGTAAACAAAGCGTTTATGAATGACTGATAAATGAATCACTTGGCCTCCAGTGTTAACAGAAATCTCATTTACAGGGTTTTATATTTTAAGGCATGGGCTATGATAATACTGAATCACTCCTTCCTCTGCTCACCCACGAACACAGTGTCTTAACCTCAATTTATGTCCCTGTGCCTTGTATCGTAATAAATTATTTACCTGTCCCACTTGATTGCATATTTTACTTTGTATTCAGCACAGCACCTAATAAAGTATCTTGAACACAGTAAAAACTTAGAAAATGGCCCTGACTGGTTTGGCTCGGTGGATAGAGCGTGGGCCTGCGGACTGAAGGGTCCCAGGTTCGAATCCGGTCAAGGGCATGTACCTGGGTTGCGGGCACATCCCCAGTAGGGGGTGTGCAGGAGGCAGCTGATTGATGTTTCTTACTTTCTATCCCTCTCCCTTCCTCTCTGCAAAAAAATCAATAAAATATAAAAAAAAAACTTAGAAAATGTTTTACGAAATGATACAAAAGCAGTTTGTAACTCATTTTATATAGTTTATGTATCTCAACTTCCTGTATTAACTAAACAGAAAATAACTGTGCTTCACACTCACAAAGCAATCTCTTCTGGACCATGTAGCTCTGCAAAATTACTTGCACAGTAATCCCTTCCATGGAAACCGTTTGTTATTCTAGAGATGGTGAGACCTTCCCATCATAAGATGACTCATCTAAAGGCTTCCTAAGAATCTTCAGATGGGAGCAGGAGAGATCAGCTCAAACAAATACATATTTATGGCCTCTTCCCCTTAAAATGTTAACCTGTATAACCAAATCTGCTTAAACATAGCTTTTATTGCTGTAAATCAGTGATTTTCAAACAGTGTGCCTTGAGAATTTTTAAAACATGCAATTACCTGACTATTTAGTCAGGGGCACTGATTTCTTTTCCCTAATATTGTCAAATTTAAAAAATGACAACAGCCAACACAACAATAACCATCCTGTGTGAATGAATCAATTTATACTTTTTTTTTTCTTCAGATCAGCAAAACGTATACTTTTTGGTGTGCTGCAGAAGTGTAGTAATTAGTTTGTGTGTGCCATGAGATGAGAAAGGTTGAAAATCACTGCTGTACAGGAATGAAATTTCTATTTGGTTGTAATCCCTTAAAGAAAAGCTTATACAAAATTGTATTGCCAATTATTTAAAAGAAAAGCAATAAAAAGGTAAACACCAAATATACTGGATTATGAAATAAATTTTAAAGGTCCTAAAAATGAAAGCCTGTATGTTTTGTTTCTCTGCCCCTTTTATAATCTGTTCTCCAAACTCCCTTCAGTGATAAATTAAGACCAAAGGAGCCCTTGAAATGAATATAGAAATGGAATCATTTTCAGGCCCAAAGAGCTCACACAGCACTTTTACTACTCACTATTAGCTAGCCTATGTTGTTGTTTTTTTAATCCTTGCCCTAGGATTTGTTTCTATTGCTTTTTAGAGAGGGAGGGAAGGAGAGAGAGAAATATCAATCACTTGCCCCCAGGAATTGAACCTGCAACCTAGGTATGTGCCGTGACCAAAATCTTTCAGTGTATAGGATGACATTCCAACCAACTGATCCACCCAGCCAGGGCTAGCCTATGTTGTGTTTTGTTTTTGTTTTTTAATGTAGACAGTATTATAGATGTCTTCCATCTTCCCTACCCCACTTTGCCTACCTTCAACCTGCCCCTGCCCCCACCTCTCCTAGGCCCATACCACATTACTTACTGTGTATGTCCATGGACTACGCATATATGCATAGCCTACGTTTCTTAAGCAAGCTACAGAAGACAGAATAGTTGAGCTCTCCTGCATTTGAAATCTGTTAAGTGTCAAGAGTCTAGATCTGAAATTTACAATTCAATTCGCTAATGCTAGGCTGGGGAAAAGGAACTTGCACCTTGCTGCCAATCTTTAAGGATATTAAAGCCTGACTCCAGAGACTACTCAAGATAAAACATGTCTTATGCATTTACATCCTAATGTTTCTAAAGAAACTTATTTTTACTATATTTTATTACCTATCATGGTAAAGATATTATGATAGGGCACCTGACGTATCATCTCAAACACAATAAACATGCTCCTAAAGATATTTTGATAGGAAAACATGTCCATTGCTTTGTAAAGGCCACACAGGATGGGTGGGGGGAGGGGAGTGGCTGTGGTTTGTGATTGAGAGCAGAGGAACACACCTGGGTCACACTTCAGCTCTGGGCATTCTAACCACAAACCCTGGTCAAGTTATTTAACATTTCAATGCACAGGTGATAGTGTCTATTTCATAGGACATCTGGGTAATTAGGTGAAATCACTCAGTTGGTACCTAAAATGGAGAAGATGCTCAGCAAAAAATGTTTTCACCTCCCTGACTCAATTCAATGCAACTTGTCTATCTCGCCTCTATCATTCACTCAAACTTTCGGTAGGTAGAACTAACCAATTTCTTTCTTGAGGAAAACCCATTCCTCTGATGATGAGCAGATTGCAGATAAATAAAAGTTTGCTTTGCTGTAGCACTGATGAGAATTTTATCATGCAACTAAAAGAACGGGAACTCTATAGACTTAGTGAAGGCAGTATTAGGGACTCACCATCAGTCCCTTAAATCTGAGGAAATCAGGACCAGATGAATGACAGTGCGTATACTGATAGGACAAGGAATATACTGATAAACCAGGGCAGTCACTCCCCAAACAAACAAGTAGTGCCCTACTGACATGGGAAATCTCATTATTATTAAAGTCAACAGTTCTAAACCCTGGCTTCACATTAGAATCACCCAGGGGGCTTTTAAAACACACTAATATCCAGGCTCCACCCAACGAGGAATTCTGATTAATTGGTCTGAGCCCGTCCCACAGTCCTCTAGTTTATTCAAAGCTCTCCAGGCGGAATGGTGCTAATGTGCACTCAGGGCTGAGACCTGAGTGATTAAAACACCCATGGGATGAAAGTGAACAAGAAGCACCCAAAGTCCACACCGTAGGCAAAATCGATTTGACTCCTGGAGACAAGAGAGCACTCCAAGCTGACAGGAAGGGGAAGCAGGTTGGCTCTAGCAAAAATACCACTAGGACTAGCAATGAAACTGAAACTTGGTTCTGAGTACAATGAGGGTATTTAGCAATATTCTCTAACACCCAATACAGTCATAATAAACTGAAAAAAAATCAAATAACAAACCTGTGTCTGTACTTCCAATAGCTTTAATCCCACCCTGTCTTCTAGCTAACACCTGTTTATAGCTGTTATTGATTTGTAAATCATGTCCATGCTTGCCCATCCTGAAGAGCTCAAATAAATTAGAAGAACAGTACAAATATTAAGATGCTATGCTTTATTCATTAAAACTCTACGGTTTCAAACTGGCATCCTCTCACTTGTAACTATAAAATAAATAAACTCTAAACCTTTTTTTCCCACAATTCACTGGGGGGAAAAAAGGGGGGGGTCTGCAATTAGAATCAGTTACCTAACGAATATTTACTTTGCTTGTTTGGAAAGCTAAAGCTAAATGTTCTGTGTTCTTTCTGGGCTGTATACCCAGCTAACAATTTCTGAATGTATGTTAAGTGCCACACTCTAAGCCAATCATTGGGCATCATAAATAAACTTAATCGAAGATAGTGTCATGCTTTGTCAATCCAAAAACATCCCCCAGTGAAACATTTTCCCCTTAAAAAGGCATAATCCAACCCCTTCATCAAAACAC